TTTTTTATCTTATTATATGACGAACTTTCCAATCCGAGGTGAAGCCGGGCTTTACCAGTTGCTATGTTTCAGTGAACATGATCAATGTAACGAGGCTGACGCTAAGTCACAATAAAATTCAAGGTAAAGTTCTATCCTGACGTAATCCTCCGCAAGCGACACATTAACGCTGCGTTGCCGCTCGAATCGATTATTCACGCCAACGTTTACTTTCCGATCGCAGCGGTGCCACCGGGTCTTGCAAATCTGGTCAACCTGGAGATACTGAATCTCTTCAACAATCACATCACCGAGCTGCCCATCTCGTTGTCGCAAATGCCGAAGTTGCGAATCCTCAACGTAGGGTCGGTAAACGACTTTCGTGAAACGCGTATCTTATTAATTAATTTGTTGCGACGAACACTTAAGTTCTCGTTTCGAACTGTAGAATGAACCGGTTAGACGTGCTTCCCCGCGGCTTCGGTGCGTTTCCGGTCCTCGAGGTGTTGGATCTTACGTACAATAATCTTAGCGAGAAGAATCTGCCTGGCAACTTCTTCATGATGGGTCAGTCATAATCGTTAGGATTGATCGGCCGTAGCTTCGTGTGTTTTGACTTTTCTCTTCTCTTCAGAGACCTTACGAGCTCTTTATCTGGCTGACAACGATTTCGAATATCTGCCGCCTGAAATCGGCCAGCTAAAGAATCTCCAAATTGTAAGCATCTCTTACGAGACTTCTTCCTTTCACGGCTTTTTCTCATTTTCCTTCATTCTTTGTGAAGAAGATTCGTTTCCGCGTGGATTCTTCGATCTATATCTGTTTTTAGCTCGTGTTGAGGGAGAACGATCTGGTGGAGTTGCCGAAAGAGATCGGGGAGCTGACTCGTCTCAGGGAACTGCATATCCAGGGCAATCGTTTGACGGTGTTGCCGCCCGAAATAGGTAGATAAGACAGATAGACAGATAAATACTCAAATAAACTGAGAGAACAAATATCTAAAAATTAGTAAATATTTACTTTAGTGGATACCAACATAGTATATTTACTTAAATTTAAATTCTTTTATTTAAATAGAATAAATAATTGTTTCTATAAAAAAAATAAAGTTCCCTTAAAATTTTAAGATAATATATATTTTCTTATTGTGAGAAATATCTTATATATTGATATAAGTAAATACGCTGTTAGTACTCACTAATTAAATATTTCCTTTAATATTACTCTCATTAATTTTTTCTCTTAGTGTAGCATAAGGCATCTCAGAATCATCCTGAACGTGTCTAAAACGCGTGAAGAGTGTCTTAGAACGTCCTAAGCATATTTAGGATTTTAGGGCACTTCTTGCCTCATTGGAGTAAATAGATAAATACATAGATGGATAGAGAGAGATAGATGGTTACGATGGAATGGATAAGTGTATAAGTGGATGCTTTTGCAGGGAATCTGGATCTGGTGGGTAACAAGGCGGTGTTCCGGATGGAGTTCAATCCGTGGGTCACCCCGATCGGCGATCAGCTGCAAGTGGGCATATCTCACGTTATGGACTACATCCGGTCGGAAACTTATCGATAGTAGGTACCTTTTGGTTCTGATCGTTCCGACGATCTTCAAAAACGATCAACGGCCACGTTAGTCGTCTCGAATCGCGTGCGCATCATTTTCTCGCGGACAGTTCGTCGTATGCGATTCGAGAGGATTAAGTTGATAAGTTGAACGTAATTGTCGATCGGCTAGCATAAACGAGGGAGCATTTCGTCACCTGTCGCTTTTTGCAGCGTGTATAACCGACACCAAAGTGCCAAAGGACCGCCGCCCCCCATTGAGAACGACAAGACCAAGAAGATCTCGCGCGCTCGTTGACGATCCTCCTCTGTGTCTGTGTGTTCGCCCACGTATTAATCACATATATCGTTTCGACTAATAATTCAGAAGTCTCGAACGGAGAAATCGCTTTTGCAAGCCACGTTACTGCCAGTAACTAATTATTAATTTATGAATTAAATACAATTAATTAACGAATCCAGGAGCTAAATCAAGTGCCTTCCAGAGTAGGTTTGACCATAACAAGAGATTGTCTATGTTTGTAACATTGTTATAAGTTTTCTAATTGTCCATCGAACTAATATATATGTACATCTACACACGTATATATTATTAATTAAGATTTAACTAAACAAATATATATGATAAATATATGATAAATATATAAAAATATATGAAAGATATTTTCGCTAGTTTTGCTTCGCGTTTTCAATTTCTAGTTTCTTCTTATTTCCAGCTTGAACGTCGCTACCTGTGATGGCACATCGGTGTTCAGGTACATACTTAGTGTAAATTTCATTTTTATTTGGGCGTGGAAAAAAATTGCTCGACGAGGATGGGATTCGAACCCACGCGTGCAGAGCACATTGGATTAGCAATCCAACGCCTTAACCTCTCGGCCACCTCGTCCACTGGCGGGCTACTCAAAAAATGCATCTGGTACGGGGTGCCAACCCTCTGTTGATGTAGGATTCCCTCTCGACTTACTAATGCACGCGCAACGCACACACTTTCAGATGATGGAAAAAGTGTGTTATATTTTGAAGGGAGTCCCTTAATTTCTTCTTGATCAACTTCAATTTTTCGCGCGTAACACATGCTTATTTTGCGGCGGAAAAATGATTTTCCAAGCCTTCTAGATCCTCGCGCCGAGTCCCGTCGTTTCTCCCAGCAACGAAAACAAAATGACAAAACAGATCGTTTCGACAGAGTTCGCGTCGTTTATTATCATCGACGAGAGAGTGTAGGCGCGTATTCTCCAGCCGGGCCTTAACAGCGGCTATTTTCTAAATCGACGGATCACCGGACGCGGACGCGGCACAAAGACGAAGAGCGTCCGTTGTAATTTTCGATATGCGGATACTCGCGCTCCAGATCTTATCCCGGATCTCGCGAGAATTTCCTTCCCCTATTATCTTTAATGTCGCCGATCGCGCATCGCTCTGCTCGGCACCGTCGCGGAATGCGCGCCGCTCCGGTTTCAACCGCAGTGGCGAGCGGCAAAAATCCCGAACATTATTAAAACCAGTTTATTAAAACCACGCGCGCGCGCGATGCCATCCGCGGTTCATCTCGCGCGATCGCGTTGTAATTGCGCGCGATTTATTAACGCCGAACACGAACGGAGATGATCCATGCGTCGATTGCTTTCTCGCGGAGCGTCTAATAACATTTGAAACGTGTATAAGACGCGCGAAGGGAGTCGCCGAAGAATAACGCTCACTCGCGTAACGCGCAAACAAATTAAGGTAAAGATACTAATCCCTGGACACGTATTTAAAATCCTGGACATTCTTATTGTTTTGAGTTTTAAACACGAATATTTAAACTGTTAACATAGAATATATTTACATACACAATATTTATACATTTTGTGTTGTAAGTTTAAATGTTTGTATATGAGGACTAAAACAAAAAGAATGTTCAGAAGTGTTTAGATATACGTCCGAGCATTGGTACTTTTACCTTACGTATGACAATCGCCAGCTCTCGGTTTCCGTATGGATACTGATTTAATGAGAAATATGGGTGTGCCACAGCAAAGATATTTCATTTCATCCAGATATTTCACTATATTCAGTACTTATATATAATAATCTAAGAACTCAATCTTTTTTTTTTAATAAGAAGTCTTAGAGAACATCCTTCCCCTAATTTCTAATCTGCTCCTTCTTGCTTTCAAAAAATGATAACATTAAACTTGAAGAAACATTCGAATAAAAGATTCGCTTGCTTTTAAATCGTAACACGAAATTCGTTCAATTAGTCTTCTTCCTCGGTAGAATCTGTTTGAAAAATCGTGGACTAACGTCAGATGAATTGAAACGTGAGTGGGAAGAGTCATCTGGAGTTATAGTCAGCGGCCGTGCTGGCCGAAAACGCTTGATGCGAGTACTCAGATTTATTAGCTGATGCGGCAATTAATACCAGCACTGTGTTTATTGAAGGAAGTCGCTTGGTCAGACACGCGTTTAAAGGCACAGCAACCGCCATCTGACGTGAGCCGAGTCGGTTCCGTTGGTCGGAGCGATAAAATAGAGTGCGCCGGAGTAGCCGATGACGCATCCTCCAGGGCCGGGGAACGCGGATCGATCTCGCGGATATACCCCTCCGAAGGCAGTGCTGGCAGTTCGCGATATTTTCTATATAGACAGAAGCCCTTGTGCGCATGCGTGAAGTGACGTAGCAGCTCGACGTAAGCAGTTTCCAATGACGGCGTTAGGCACTAATAGGGGGTTCTTAAGGGACATGCAGAAAATACTCGGCCGTCTGTCTGTGTTGTTTGCCTGGGAGTGGTTAGGTTAGATAGGTAGTGAAATGACATAATAATAAATTAGTATAATTAATATAGTTATAATAATTAGTATAGTTATGTAAAATGTGATAATAAGTATATATAGTATATATTAATAAATAAAATGTGATAAAAAGTGCAATTTTAATATAAAGTGATATTGTGATATAAAGTGATATAAAGTGATATTGTGATAAAGAAAAGTGCAATTATAATATTAAGTTAATTAAAGAAAAAAGTGCCATATTAAAGAAAGAAATGGATCAACAACAGCCTTCGTCATCAAGTGGCATTGAGAAAAAGAAGAGGAAATGTGTGAGAAATAAATTTCAATATGAATGGTTAAGTATGAATATTTTCAAAGATTGGTTGGCATCGCATGAAAACGATGAAAAAGCTCTCTGCACAGCTTGTAATAAGATATTAATATGCGGAAAATCAAATTTAATTTCACATTCTAAAACAGAAAAACATGTAGAAAATATGAAGAGTCGTAATATCACTCTATCTGTTTTATTGCCTGTTAAACATAATAATATTTACGTGGACCATGTTACTAAAGTAAAAATAGCTGAGATAAAATTAGCTGCCTTTTATGCAACACATAATATAGCTTTTGAAGTAGTTAATGACATGGTTCCTTTGCTAAAAAATATTTTTACAGATTCACAGATAGCTAAAGATCTAACATTGTCACGGACAAAGTGTAGGCAAATTATTACAAATATTTTGGCTAAACGCGAAAGTGAGAAACTTATTAATAATTTATTAAATAATAAATTTTCCATTTTACTAGATGAAAGTACAAGTATTACAAATGATAAAATGCTTTGCATTTTAGTTAAATATTTTTCTATAGAAAATAAAACAGTTATTACACAGTTATTAGAATTAGTTTCTTTAGATGCAACAGATTGTTCCGCAGAAAAATTATATTCTGCGTTTGAACAGTGTTTTAAAAGTAAGAGGATACCAATGTCGAATATTGTAGGAATGGCTTCTGATAATGCTTCAGTTATGATAGGTGATAATAATTCTTTCAAGAGTAGATTAAAGAAAGAGGTACCGGCCCTCATTGTATTAAAGTGTATATGCCATTCCTCAGCTCTTATCGCAAGTAAAGCTTGTGCAAAATTGCCGGATTCTTGTGAAAATCTTTTACATGCAGTTGCTACATATTTTTCTGGCAGTGCTAAAAGATCAGCTATTCTGTATGAGTTTCAAACATTTTTTGGAGTAGCATCAAGAAAAATTTTGAAATTATCAGGTACAAGATGGCTCGTCTTACAAAAGTGTGTTGAGAGACTTCTCGATAATTGGGAAGTTTTGAAACATTACTTCAACCTGGAATCTTTTGAACATAAAAATAACTCGGCACATTTAATTTCTAATTCTTTAAACAATAAAATTATTAAAGCATACATGTTGTTTTTGAAGTATTCTTTAACTTTTTTTAATAGTTTTAATGCTTTGCATCAGTCGAGACAAATCTTAATTTATAAAATTGCTGAAAATTGTGAGCAGTTAATGAAACAGATAGGAAAAAATTTTTTGATATGTAATGTTTTAAATAATATTTCTGATAATATTTTAAATCCGGAAAACTTTTTACCAGTTAATTGTATCAATGTTGGTTCAGACTGTGAGTCATTTCTCTTAGCAGAATGTCCAGATTTTTATATAGAAATAAAGTCGAATTGTCTACAATTTTATATTACCGCGATGCAAGAAATGCTACATCGTTTTCCATACAATGATGAAATCTTGCGCGAATTAAAATTTTTAGATCCCGAAATAGCTTTGCATGAGGAAAATAGAGTCTTATTTCCAAATTTAACGAATGTAGCAAAACGTTTCGGTATATCTGATATTACGACTTTATGTAATGAATGGCAAATTTTACCTTCACAATTTGATGACGCGAATAAAATTGTTTTAGCCAATTTCGAAATTCTTGAAATGTGGAACACTATTTTTGAGAAAAAAAATTGTAATAATGAACCGTTCTTTCCAAATTTAGAAAAATTAGTACATGGCGTTTTATCTCTTCCACATTCTAATGCTGAAGCAGAGAGGATTTTTTCCATCGTCACTGATGTCAAGAATAAAAAGAGGAATTCTATTAGTATCACTTCTTTAGACTCAATTTGTAAAATACGATCCAGCTTTCAGGCTCATAATGTAGATTGTAGCACTTTCCAAGTTGATTCTAGACACTTGGAACTGCATAATACTAAAAATTTGTATTGCGTAGAAAGAAAAGAATTTAAAAGTTCAAATAATACCAAAGATTTTAATGATGATAATGAATATGAAGATGACATTAATTATGAAGTATATGATGAAATATAGACTAATATTTTATTTTAATATTAGCTTTTTTAATATTACTAAAAATACTGAGATTAACTTCATATTGTTACATAAAAATTAACATTTATTATTATAATATACTACAGAAAAAATTTCTTTTACAGATTTAAAAATATTTAGTTATTTTTATTTGTCATGCTGTCATTGTCTTCTATATTTTGGAGCACTGGCACTTCTTCTCTTTTTATTCTGTTTCTACTAAATTCTTTAATTAACAATGCATTTCTGTCACAATAATTTCGAATAGATCTTTCCTTTGATAGATAATTTTTTTTTATATAATCATATACTTTTTTGTATTTTTTATTTTCACACATTTTATTTTTTATTTTCACACATTTTATTTTCACACAAAATTTTTTATTTTTTGACAAATTATTTTTTATGCAATAATAATATTTTTTTTCATGTGACAGA